TTATACGAACATCATAATTTGTAGCGGAAAATTTAGGAAAGTTCGAGTCTCGTCTCACGCTCCGAAACGAGAAGCTGTATCTACGGTATCCCTACAAATCGGAAGCAATTCGCACTGGAGAAACGGGCTACGGAATGGGTGTGGGAAAAACCTGTCATATTTAATAGTATAGAACAAAGCCGATCTAAAGGACCGTGGACAACAACAAAGATGACATGAGACAAAACGGACAAACGATCCTGACGCAATAAAAATAGTGTAAGAACAGCAGAGTAGCGTTTTAAAAAAATGCGATGAAGAAGTTAATGACATTCAGAGAGAAAAATTAAAAAGGACTAACCAAAACAGGATGATTAAAAACGGACATAAAAAATGCGACCGTCATACCGGTTGCAAATACCAAAACGAAGACAACGGAAAAGCGTTATTACCGTGTGGACAAGCAGCAAAGACGATCAAGACGCTGAACTGCATAGGAATTTGTATGTCTAAACCGTAGCATGATACAGACCACGTACGTAACGAAGCTATACTTTCGTCTGTGACAGTACTGGCATATGCTGTTCAGATTAGTTGGCGGTGTAATGGTTATGGCGGCTGAAGATGGATTTGACGCGATCCGAAACATACGGCACCTTTTACACAATAAGCCGCTAAGGACTACGATGATAAATGACTTTGTGCACGCATAAGGAATTTAAGTAATATGATTAACGACATTTGTTCATTCTTTGTTGACCTAAGTTCCTATGTTCATACCGTAACTAGAATACAATGGCATACAGCGGTTAAACAGGCGACGAATGTCACGCAAAAAGTAATACTGTGCTTATTTTTAATGACCGTGCAGCGTTTTAACGTATGCGGAAAAAATATTCGCGCATTTTACTGTCAGACAGGAATCACGAGGCAGAGTTTCAGCTCTGATGGACGAGTTTCAGTTTTCAGGTTACGAACAGTTATCACGCAAAAGACGACGTCAAATCGACGAAAAGCGTATGCGCGTATAGGAGTATACCGTAGTATTCATCGACACAAGTACACTTGTAACTTCCGTTGCCGTTCGAAGAACAGCGGCCGTTATTCAGGCAACGGGAGTCATGGCACACTGGCGGTAACCGCGTCGGCGCCGGTGTCATCTCTGGCTGCTGGCGATCGTCTTGCGGCAGTGGTTGGCAGCGAGGGTCGTCGTGTCTGGAGGTGGAACAATCGCAGCTTAATACAGTAAACGTAAGTGAGGCTAACGTGTGCATACTCACACGGATCACTTACGAGCCGTTGGCTAAGCATCGTTCGCCGTTCAAGCACGGGCTCTGTCGGCACGACGCGTCGGTGGTGACCACCGCGACGTTGCAGTGTTTGCCGCTCCAACCGGCAGCGCATATACAGTCGTACGGGACCAGGGTCGGTTGCGACGACATCTGAGACTCGACGGTGTCGACGGCGGCAGTTTGATTCATGGCAACGACACAAGTAGCGCCGTTTTCGCAAGGACGGTGTGCCAAACACGTATTTACAAAGGTGCAGTTTTTGCCGAAGTAAGGCTCGGTACAGTCGCATTGATCACCCCCGACGCAGGTCCCATTCCCGAGGCAGTCAACCACGCAACGCCACGGTGTCGTCACTGTTGTCGATACGGCAGTCGTCGACGACAACGTGGTCACCGCTTTGACATTTTCGCACGCTTCGCCGGAAAACGGCGGGCCGCAGTCGCACACGTAGCCGGTAGTGCTGTTTACAGCGATGCAAGTGCCGTTGTTGAGGCAAGGTGACGAGTCGCAAACACTCCTCTGAAACTCGCACTTGTCGCCGAAGTAGTCAACCGTGCAGCTGCAGTTGTAGTCGCTTAGCGGATCAGCGGCGACCGGCATGCACGTTCCCCCATGTAAGCAAGGGTTGGCAACGGCACACACATTTTGGTGTTGGCAGCGAGTTCCAAAGTAACCGTCATAGCATTCACAACGATACAACAGTTGCGTAGAACTACAGGTTCCGTGCGGTCCGCATGCTCCGGCAAAACAATGTTCTGTCGTCACATTCGTACTAAAGCAACCGTCATCAGTTTTCGATATCAACCATAAGTACAACACGGTGTTAAGCTTTGAGCGTAATTACGATGCTAACGTACTGACCACCGTAGTAACCGAACTTCGCGAGTGCCCTAACGCCGAGTAGACAAACCTGCATCAATACCTCGGTCGTGTGGGCTGGCTGTGTCCTCTGAGCAGCTAAGTTGTAACTCGGTAGACGTATTTCGAAACAACCATAGCATCGAAGTTAGAACGAACACTTACGTTACCTCTGTAAACAGGAATGAACGGTTACATGACATACAGTAAGACACACCCTGAGAACGTTCTTCAGATTTGTCCCTCAACTTATTAACTCAGATTTGTCTCTCAACTCAACTCTACACTTATTAGTAGTCAGCTTTACTTTAAAGTGGGTAGAAGCGAACTGCAGCAGTACGGTGCACACCTCAGACAACATGACAGCAAGTCACCTCCCTCCATTCTTGGGCATCGTCACACCACAACAACACTGTCCGTATTGTTCGCAGGTCAACGACTTGCTAATCATTTTCCGGTTTTAGCACCAAAGCACAGTGGGGGCAATTTCTCGCTCAATCGAGTTAACATGCAATAAAAGAAACGTTTCTGCTGTACCTCCAAAAGTGCGAAGCAAAGCAATCATCATCATCTGAGCGAGTCACTGCCGTCCATCAAATATCAATATCGAATGTAATAATACGACTGCGTTGAACTGATCAACCACGTAACTTCAATTTCTACCTCAACTCTGACGACAGTGCCGAAGTCACCGCATTTTTATTATAATGGCGTGTCTTCGTATTCGACATACCATTCCTTATTTTCTCTATAACAGAATCGTGTCAGTTACTCACGTGCCAAGCCAGCAATCGACTCGTGACAAGCAAAGAAATACTGCAAAGTACTTCTACGACAGAACCTGATGATTTCAGGCCTGATCCTCTTCGTCTTCTTTTGCTTGTTCATTGCTCATTTTAGCGCATTCGCTTTAACACAGTGCGCGTTGCGACCCATCTCTCAGTCAAAATCATAACTGTGTGCATGCCAATCTCCGATGCCAAGAGTTTACTTAATCTGTCTGTCATTTCCAGAAGACATTAATCACTCTGACAGTAGGCGCATTTTTAACTCAAACCAAAACCAGCGCTGAGCTGCATTTCCATTCGATCTTACAATTCCTTTGCAGAGCAGCGAGAGATTTCTTCCACCGAGAAAGGCTTACTGCAAACCAAGTACGGGCGAAGTCATAATTATATGCCAATCAATTTCCATTTCGGCTTGCTTATAATGAACATTCTATTCGTCCCTTATACTGCGAACTCGTCATGTTGCTGACAGCTGCTTCATAGCAGGGGATCGTGAGGGTATCAACAGCGACTGGTGGTGAGGTCGAATAGAACTACATAACAGTGGGGGAAGTCGACCATTCCAAATACCTGGGATAAGGTCGGTCACGGACACAGAACAGGACACCATTGCAGAAACCGGCAAAACTTACTAAGCCTGATCTACTCAAAACAAAGACTGTCATTTGCAGAAGCAGTTAATGACTGAAGAATTCTACGGAGTTACATGCTGCAAGTCAGGCGCCCTTAATTTAGAGCAAGCAAAGCACAACTGATGACGATTACAATCATCTGCAACAACAACAAATAAGAAAACAAGTTTTGAAGTCTGTTAGGGGAACAGATCATCAGTTGTGTAAAGTAAGGTACGGCGGTCAGCAAACGACAATCGAACTAACCTGCAATAGGTGCGTTGCTCGTAAGAATCACCAGCTCAGCGCATACTGCGAAAAACGAACGAAACGATGGCGACATGTTATGACAAGGTATGAAGTCGAACGCTTGTCATAAAAATTAAAACACTCACGCAATGAAGTAGTGCAAATAGCGAATACTAGACGCTATGTCGCGTTTAAAGATATTCCCTGAACGAAAGTACCCCACACAACATACCCGGATGGGAGGGGTGGGTCGGGGACAGCTTTATCTGTAGGCTGCTTACAACCCGATGACATGAAAAACACATGATCACTATTAAACATGTTTACCACTGGACACCAGCGATTCATAGTCAGTCGCCCGACTAGCTGGAAACAGGGAAAACCTATTACTGCTCTACCATTGTCACCGCCTTTATAACCATAAAGTTGCCACATCGTGTTTAAATGCTCAGCCACCCGTTCGAAAGTAGGATTTCTTCACAGTTTCATACACGCGACGATCACAAAGCCACACGCTAGGTGACATTCGTGCGGCATGTCGACTGTTCGTCTTTTCACGCTCCGATTACGGTAGTACAATGGTTCGCAGCTGTACATGCGTACGTTTTCCCCAAATGCAATTATGGGGCTCCAGTAGCAGAGACAGAACAGTGAAATGCATCCTGCTTACATGGGATGAATAGCAATGAATTTGAAACAGTCAGCTAATGAAATTATAGTAAAGGGGGGAGGAACAGAGCGACAAACTGACTCCACGGTGCTCCAGCGCCACAAACCGAGATACGGTAACAGAATGATGACGTGTGAACGAATGAGACGGCATGATCGAGTTATGTATTTACTCTAGACTGCAACTGGCTTTCACTTACCTGACAGCTGTACTGGCTAGATCAGGCAAATGGTTTAAAATGGCAACAAAAATAGAGAAACCATTTTAAGTCACCATGCCAAATTTTCAAAATCAACTAAAATATTTCCTGATGGCAACAACTTCTGCCCACCACAGTAAGTTAAACAACCACAGATTGCTCACAACCCGTTCACCAATGATCTGAACCAAGGTAGATCGCGAGAGTACGAAAAAAATGTACTTGCCTTACAGACGAGAACAAACTCGGTATAGGAAACGAGTCACGGATATCGACATCAAGACAGAACTCGGTGCACATACGGTGTCCTGATTCCGGACAAGCGGTACAGAAATGATACGTTCCGTTTCCGTCGGCCCGATGAAGTTCACAGTCTTCGCAACCTGAACGGAATGAATTAGCAAAGCATAGTTCTGCGATATCTCAATTGCCTAAATTTGTCATTCTCTCACATTGTATCAGCTTAAATCAAATCAAAGTGATTCTGAAAGAAGCCTCACAACGTTACAACGCTCATGAGCAAACAAGGTATTCCGGACGGCGCCAAGAAGATCTATGCTGCTGCAACTAATACCCCACCGTTGGTACTCAAAACATGTATATGCTTCGAGTCAACAGTTCCATGCCGCTGCCCATCCAAGCACCGCCGTGCTTAAATACTATGGAGTGTTGACCCGCTCAAATGACAACCTAGGGTTCAAAAGCAAGTGGGCGAAGTGCTTCTTCCGTACAATCCAGTAGAATAAAATATGTTATGCATTTTCAACGGCAGAATTAGCGAAAACCAATTCTAGAAGAATTTAAACCAAAATTTATATCGCATAAAACATTAAACCAAAGTTCAACGATTTTGTGTGACTAGCCATAACGAGCGACCTATATGCGTCAAACGTTAATCATACACTTGTTAGTCCGGCTTTGAAATGCACCAACAGATAAGCTCTGTGTTTTACAGCTCATTCTTCCACACCTCAAAGGCGCAGCTGACCAGGTTCGAAACCTGAGATGCTCCACTTCAGCTTAGAATGCTGCTATTCAGATATGAGTTTTCGACCATATTTGCATTTATTATTGCTAGACACCAGTGACATATCGTTTCCCCAACGTTCGCTCAACAACTTCATCATCATCATTTACATTGATTATAGTTATCATAATATCAATCCTTACCCTCAACAATACAACCGTGATCATGATCATAACCATTAACTTTATCATCATAATTTTATTGCCATTTAATCATTATTGTCGTCATCGTTACCTAGTTCTTCATCTTCGGCGCCATTTGCAAAATAATTAACGTACACTTTCTTCATCATCATCATGTTGATTGTTAGAATCATTTTCATCCTTCTTTTCGTCTTCATCACTATCAAAATCTTCATTTTCGTCATTCCCTCATGTAGTCATCATCGTCGTCACAATCACGATTATCACATTCTTCTTCAGGTTTATGGTGATATATATGGTGATATATCTTCACCATCATGTTTATCATCAGTGTCATCACCTTAACTGACATCTTCATGCTCACCAACATCATAATCATCGTCTCCATATTCCCCTTCATCTTCAACATCATCATGTTCATCATCAACGTCACCTTTCCCACTATCATAATCACCATTTTCATCATAATTGTCACTTTCATCACCATTATCGTCGTTGTCATCATAATCACCAACATGGATACATAAGGAAATTATACACATTAAGCAGATTAAAACTGCAACTGCACGTAAACATTACAGATCATGCTCCATCGATAAGTTTCTTTAACGATTTTACAGCTTCGTCTGTCGAGAATAAACTCAAACAAAATCGTACGGGAACATGCACACGGTGCAGTGCCTTTGCGGTCGACTTCGACTTGCGAAGAAATCGGTCTCGACTGCGGCGAACCACGCATTTTCTTGAGCAACGAATCTATCACACGTTGCATCAAATGGGATTGCTCAGTTGGCACAGTGAGGAACTCAGAACGGAGACGTCCTCGGTTCGAGCCTCGATCAATTTACTAGCGTTTCTTTGTTCCGAAGTTAATAAATGAACTCGGCTCTGTGAAAATGAAAGAGATGACTATACACTGTGCTTAAATATCATGAAAACAGACCACAAAAGAGAAGACTACATATTATCAAAAGAATGGTACCAAAAATGGCCCAAGCATAAAAGCTGCGAACTTTCCTTTTTCATATCATAAATCAATCGGGCAACGAAACGGTTTTGTCGAACGTTGTCCGAACCAAACACAAATAAAGAAGATTTAAAAGTAATGCATAATGGCGATTTATCAAAATTTTGAAACTTAGTAACAGCTTTAAAACTGCACTGATTTCCGCTAATAGTGCATCCTTCACTGCTACAGGAGTCAGGGAGGAATCACCACAATCCTAAAGTGTCTTAATGAATTTGACCATATTCATTCATTCATCTTTGATCGCCACTTCTCCTTTCGGGTCACGGAGGCAGACACGTCAGAGAGAGCTTCCAACGTTCCCGATCC